TGTCGTGCTTGGCCGGCCAGTTTCAGGCGCCATATTGTTAACATTTTTATTGACCTATTCATGGCAGTGGAGGGGATATTAAAGCAATTTGTGTAAATATGATTACCTTAGCGGTAAGCAGTAAGAGCCCCACAGGAGCCGGACACATACAGTAAAGATATGTCCGTGCACGCGCGTGTGTTTGTAACTGTGTACTTCAGTTTTGCTGTAAACTGCTTTTAACACTGTGCTCTAATTCATGAAAAACCACCTAGTCTCAGAGTCCTTATGGAAATGCAGTCTAATCATGCAGAAAGCAAATAAACACAAATTAGCTTTTCTATAATCTATCAGAGAAACACACACAGACACACACACGCGCAACTGTTGTAAGTTTATGCAAATCTGGAGGTTACAGCAGGGAGCCGTGGTGAAGTATCTATCTGACTTCAGCCACCTTGCTTTACAGGAATTTTGCTCCTGCTGGATTTCAGTATAAGGTTGGAGTTTGTCAGACATCACAAGATTAGTCATTTATTTTGAGTTAATATGAACCGTGAGAGATGTTTTACTGGTGCGTTTTATAAATTCTTTCCAGTCGTACGACATCAAATGATGGCACTTTTTTCCCCCTGCCAAGCCCAGCCCGTTAAAAATCACTCCCTCCACATCCGTTTCAATGTGGGGAAAAAACAAAACAAAAAACAAACACTGTTTCGTATTTTATTATCATTTCTATAACTGTAGGATAACCTGCAGAACTTCAAGCTGTTTTGAGTATTTGTGATTTAATGCACAGAATTTGTATTTGTTGCTTTTTGTCTGCTCCTCCTGCACTTTTCCTCCCTTCTGCTTCGCTTTTCATTTTCCTTTTTGATTGTTTAAAGGGAAAGCTTACATCAAATCACATCCGTATCTAGTGCACTTTGTACAGCTCTTCTAATCTCGTTTTTACCTAGCTGGATAAAAGAGTTAGTGGAAAGAAAAGCTCAGTAACTGTTTTCCTTGTGAATCTGTTCTTTAAAGTCAAAAAATAAATAAACAAAAATAAAAACATTCAGTTGTAAAATGTAAATTTTTAGGTGTTGAGCTCACAGTGAAGGAAAACAACCAATTGTAAACCATCATCTTCAACTTTCAGAAACTGAAATGTACTATTTGTTACCATTTTGTAAGGTTGTCTAGACAAACTGATGATTCAAAAACTTAAAAAGGATCTGTTTTGTTAATCGGTACAATAAACTATTTTGGGATCTTTAATGAAAGCAAAGTATTTTTGAGTGGTAGCAAAGCAAAGCAAACCCAATCAGTCAGCTGTCCTTTGCATTTTTCTCCCCACAATGCAATTGTAAGCCTGAATGCAGCCTCTTACAACACGACAATACAACTGACACAAAGACACACACACAGCAAGGAAAACAGGTCTATCTCAGAGCGTCATCTCCAGCCGGCTCAGGCAGGAAGCAGTGTGGTGAATTCAATATGCAAATGATCTCCATCAGGATTTGTTCAGCGAGCAGCTACCTTCCCACATAACTAAACTTGTTATGTACAAGGCTTTTTATGTGAATGGATAAATGTATACTCACATAACACATGCGGACACACGAACACGCACATGCACTCACACAGAATTACATACATGCACATGAGACAATGAGTTCACAGGAGCAGCTCGACTGCCTGAACAGGCCTCGTTTTCTCACTCTGACCCCAAAGCTTCAAAAAGAGTGAAACTTTCACATGTGTCTATTGTGGTCTCAATTATACTCTCACTGTCTTCATGCACTAATTTGTCGGCTCACCTGCAGACGTGACAGAAAACAAGTTCTACATTTACCTGTCAAAACTTTGCTTCTTCTTGTCTTGCAAACTAGCATGAGCCTTTTAATTGGAGCAAAATTTCCAAATGAAATGTGTTTGTTTGTAATTTAGCACGACGCAGCTAATTATAAGCTGATTTTCCAACAGCGGGAGCGGAAATAGGACATTACAGGCGAAGTGGAAAGAAACAGTTCACCCCTCTTACATGGTCTTTGAGATGACTTTTTTATTTCTAGAAATAAGCAAATTATGGGAGAGAAGTGCTCGCAGTTCTTTCAAAAAAAAAAAAAAAAAAAAAAAAAAAAAAGAAGAAGAAGAAAAGAAGATGCTGATTAAAATAGGCACTGATTTTAGGAGCACATTAGTTAGCAAAGCAGCATTTCAAGTGAAGGACTGTGTATGTGTGCAAGTTTCATGACTGAATAAGCAAGTTTGACAAGGGATTAAGGTGTGTTTGGTCGATGTGGTTTGTCCAAGCAAATCAAATATGTAAATGAACTGGTATTCAGGTTTTTCACAACCTGGAAACAAACTAAGGTGAAACGGTTTTCTGAGGGAGTCCTGAATTGTAGAAGTGAGCCTCATGTGGGAAATTTTACAAACGACTGTGCTCCTGCTTAATGTAGGCCAGCAGCACCAGTCAGGCAATCAGGAGGAGTCATTGTGAAACTCTGAAGAGAGCAGAGCAGAAAAAGGAAAATCACAGCCACATTTTAAATCTCATCTTAAAGCTTTTTACGTAAAAGCCTTTCCCTGTGCTTGAACTGTTCTCTGTAATAATGAAACCTTCAAAATGTGCAAATTTAACAGTCTCCTGAGATGCTGCGTTTCCTGGAGCTATCACTGGTTCAGAGATCTGAAGTAAAATTCCTGCTTCCGTAAGGACTGCTTCACCCAAACTATGCCAGATATCTGCCTGTGTCATACTATTCAGACATAACACAAGATCTGTGTTATAAAGGTTAATTGATAACATAAATGAGCCTTTACACACTCTTCATTCTAAATACAAGCATCATCCACATTTTATTTCTAGTTTTATTTATTTAAATGGACAAACTAACCCTTTAAGGCAGTGGGTTTCCAAATGAGGTCTGTAACACATAGCCAAGGGCAAATAAACCAAATAATCTGCAAATGTGCTGTGATATTAGAAGAGTCCATAACATACATATCTACCAGTGCCTGCAAACAAATTATTGTGTGCTTTACTCCCACCCACTTTATCTGTGTGCAAACAGAAGCTCTTATATGACTGTGACACATCATGTCACATGCGTATATAAGCTGAAAAGGTGTAAAATACGTACAGTTCCAGTGGCATCTACAAGTACACATAGTATGTAAGCATATGCTTAACCTGTGTCAGGATTATGAGGTGATTCCAGGAAAACCTGAAAAAAAATCCCCCCTGTATTTAAAGGGCAGCACTAAGCCACTACAGTGTTACTTAAGAAGAGCGTGCAAAACCATGAAAAGCTTCCAAACTACTATTACAGATCCTGCAGAGAGACCGTTCTGCTCCATGCTTCAATATGCACAGTTTTAAGAAGAATCATGAGTCTGAGTGCACGCTGAGCATTTGTTTGTCTTTTCAGAATGACATGAACACAAGCTTGCTGTTTCTAAATATAAAACCTGCAGATAACCTGAGAGGTTAATGCACAAGAAATGCATTACTCATTACTTAAACCACAGCCTGCAGCCTATCTGCATCGAAGAGCAAACACATTAAAAAAAAAAAACACACACTTTGAAAACTGTAAAGAATAAAAATATTGCTTAAATTTTTTCAAAGAGCAGTCCTCCACTGAGCCCTAATTAATGTATGTGGCATAATAAGCCAACTGACTTCAAACTATCTGAACTATGACAGCAAACCAAAGTGAGCACCTTGCATCAGTGCAAGCAGTTTAGAAAATGGATAATACACACAACAAAATGCAATTCACAAGCAAGAGAGCAAAGATTAAAAGAAGATCAAAAGCCAAAAGTTACACCAAGGATAAATGATAAAAACAACTTGCTTATCAATTTGAAACAGAGCCATGCTAGACTCAACAATACAACACAGCATGACTCGACAGTTAAAAACAAAACAAAAAATACCCTAAAATTAAAAAAAGCTACACTTCACTGAGCAACCTAAGAGCTTTTTTCTCTCGAGGTCTACTGTCTTTATTTTAAAAACTAGTGTTCCTGGGTCAATATACACACACACGGCTTGATCCTTTTAGCAGCCAACCTGTAACATGTACAAATAAAGACCTGATGCATAAAAAGCACTTGATATATAAGACTCGACATATATTTTATAACAACTTCCAACCAAATCACAAGCAGAGAAAAAGGCTTCATCCTCACAGCTTTACTCTCGCCCACGCACTTGCATCCATAAAAAGAAAAAAGTAAACACTGAGAAAACAAAGAAAAAGGTGGGGAAGCAGTACTACACCACGCCTAAATCCAAGTTCTGAAATTATCCAGTGCATCTGATTATGTTTTTTTACGTTTTACTTCCAAGGCTATATGCTGTATATGCATCCTATCTGGAAAGTCTCAACATGCAACGAGAGCAACTAAAGATACCTTTTAAACTGCATTGTGTTCTTTTTTGATCAAACTTGCTCATCATAAGAAAAAAAAAAACATAACATCAACACTTCAAACTATTGCCTCAAAAAGTTCCCATAGAACTGGTGACACGTATTGATCATATCTGGCAGACACAGCAGTCCTTTAACCTCTGATCTCTCTTCAAACATGCACTAGTGACCTTCTTCTAAATCATTGTTTGTTTGTAGCTCGCTGGTGGAGACGGCCACTTTATCAAAGCATCACACTTCTCACTGAGCAGCTTCGTTTCTGCACTAGTTATCATAAGAGCACAGGCACAAACAGCAGTGTGTGTGCGTGTGTGTGTGTGTGTGACTGCTATCACTCTGCTAAGACACTCTCACTCAACATTCAGCTAGAAAGGAGTCACATGCAAGAGGAGGCAAGACATGACAACAGGGCTGTGAGGTCACGCCCTGTACAGAGGTGAAAAGAGGAAGAGGAGGAGGAAGAAGGGGGGGGGGGGGGGGCACACTGTACATGCAGCTCTGAGGCCTAAGCCTGACCCAGTGTTGATTTCATGTTAGCCACTAGTGAGCCAGGCAGGTGAGTTAGTCAGAGGCTCTGTTAGAGCTGCTTACCTTTTCTTAGGTAAATGTTATCTGAGAAATAAAAACAAACAAAAAAGGAAACAAATAAAACAGGTAACTGTAACACAGGTGAAAGCAGTCAAAAATACACACTTGGCTCTCATACTCCAGCTTACTAAGAATACATACACTTACTCTCTCACACACACACACTCACACACAAAATGTGCATACTATGATGCAAATCCTTGAAATGAAGCGACAAAGAACTCGTAGGGGTCACACATTGACACTATGTTGCAGAAGATTCTTTGGGGAATATAACACTGACTCCATTACATGATATACGCCTCAGTTTGCATCATTTAACATGCAGTGGTGTCAGCCATCCATCATTAGTAGAATACACACACACACACACACACACACACACACACACACACACACACACACACACACACACACTTATACATGTATAAGCTTTCTGACAGGCAGACAGAGAGCTAGTTAATATCAGTGGTTAGTTATATTATAATTGGAACCGACTTTTTAGTGCAAAACACATTTTTTTATTAACAAATACTTATTTGCAAATACTTTCATCAATTTATGATAAATTGAGTATGATGGATAGAATGGATGATGGATAGAAATTGTGAAATTATTTTAAACCCACAGAATTTAAAAGGTAACCCTGCTCAGTTATAGATGTTTGCATGGCTCTCTTTCTTTCTTTCTTTCTTTCTTTGCTGATACTGACCTCACTTTTTTGTGTCTCTTATGCATTTAAGGTCTGCCTCCAGCAAGGTGCTGGCTTTTGGGATGTGCATGTATCTCCCTCTGGAAATCTGTGCCACACGTGGTTATTCATAATAACCTGCCTGTGTATAGGAAGGATGTCCACAGCTAGCAGACTACACCATCAAACATTGCTGCCATTAGCTGAAATACCAGCTGGTTAAACAGGTTCATCTTCTTTTCATCTTATTAATGCACTACTCCATTGATTAAGAAAATGAGCAGTTGAATTCTGGCTTTGTGTGACATATAATTACATGACCGAAGAATTGTGCAACTGCTAATTGTTAGCCACACCAAGCAAACTAATCTGATATTTTGTGTGTGTGACATGTGGCGCAAAGTTGGACACACTTCAGCGACATCTAAGAGGCGCGCACATTACTTGTATGAGCAGGATCTAATCTGAAATATGACACTGTGCTCAGTTTCGATTGTTTACCTACTTTTAGACTAGTCTGTTGCTCTAATCTTTTCATCCTGCTTTACGCATTATCTATTTATTTATTTATTTATGTATTCTGGAAGGAGGTCAGGGTGGATGGTTGGGAACACACAGATCAGACAATCTGATTTAGAGACCAGAGTTTGACATGGTTCCTTAAGCAAATGACACAATGATTATGAATTTAGCCAAAAAGTATTTAAAAACACAACACAATATTTTTTCCTTCTGCCCAATGAATGCTGTAACAACAACAAAAAACAACAACCTGAAAGTAAAAAATGTTGCAAAACTGTTCAGTAAAACCATTTCTTTGACTTGTTCCTGCAGCTAATGCAAATATAAGTCGTGATTTTAAAACAATCATAAAATGGCACAACCATGGATCACAATTCCTTCAAATCATTTGCAATTCAAAAAAAAGGAAGCAAAAACTGTAAATTTACAACACGCACGCTTCACATCAGATTGAATTCTTCAGACTGAAAAGGTTTAACCGAACGACAGAAAAGTTTTTCCAAATCTTCTGATATTTTGCTTAATTTATTTTTCATTAAAAAATTTGTAATCTTTTATGTAAACTTTGGAAAAAAAAATTATATTTATATGTCAGGTTGGATTTTGGGAACTCGTGATGGCTGTTTTGTTTTGTTTTTTTAAACATTGCTGTCAAATACCTGGGGAAACCACGTCACTGATTGATAGCGGAACAATCAGTACTTGCAGATGCTTTCACCTGCATTTTCATCTGCATTTTGCAACTTGAACCACACAAAACGCAGATTTGATCTGTTTTCTTTTTGAATGATTATCCCCTGAGATGCGAATGTGAATCATCACCTTGTGGAAACAGATATTGTATAATCACTTTCCACAAGAACAGTTTCTGACTGAAAAGGACACATGGAGTCAATGTGAGGGCAAGGACACTAGAGTCAAGTGAAAATCCAGGTCATCTCCACAATGACTGCGGCGCATCTATCCATCAGGAGGGAAAGTGTCGAGAAAAATAAATGGTCTGAACAAGCCTGGGAGGATGAGTCATCTATCTGAGGGGGAGCTGCATGTGGAAAAATATCTCAGCTGTGAAAGCTTTGACAAAGTTGTGGTGAAAGGGACAAGATTTTCTAAGAAGTTAAGGATGTATTGTTTGGGTAAGGCTGAATGGAAGTGCAAAAGTGGAGACTAAAAAAAAAAGCTCCTTTTGTACAACAGGTATCCTGCCTTCGTTTAACACCTGGCTGAGGTGAATGGGATGGATGTGATGGGTGTGATGCTTCAGTTGGATAAATGGCAGTTGAGCAGCCATTACAAAAAAAAAAAAAATTATTTCAGGAGACCTGACTTTCCACTCAGTTTACTTAAAGTAAATATGGGAGGTGTTCATGTTAACCTGTGTGTGTGTGTGTCTGTGTGTGTGGTTGCATTAACGTCACAACTACAACTGTCAATTGTCGCACCAAATATAGCATCCTCTTCTCAGGACAGAAAGAAAACAAACTCACTGCACTGAAGCAAAAGGTAATAATTTGAATAAAACTATTATTTTAAAAGAGCAAATTAGTTTACATTAACGTTGTATACGGTATATACAGATTTGACAACCAACATGTGGTTAACCCTTGTTTATAGTAATTACGTGTCTATTTTTACAAGCACTGCTCAGATTATTGTAAACTATAGAAATCCTGAAGAGAGGAAAAGCAAATGAGCTGCAGTTAATAAGCCAAAGTACTTTTTGCTCGCCATTGTGTGTTACCCTGCAACACGGGCTATGTGGCACTGCCTGTTAGAGACAAGTGTATGAGCAGGTTTTCTTTGCTGGCATTTCAGTGATAGAAAGTTGTAGGCGCTCAGAGATTCCCAGATAACACAGAGGAACATCGTTTCAACGGTTGGAAAAGATGACACGTTCTGGAGAAAACTTTGAACCAAATTTCCATTTCCACTCCTATACCAGCGCTGATTTTGACACCTTTTGATCAGAAGAAGGTTTTTTGATCAGTTTCCATGAGCAATGACCAAAGCATCAACATTAATTTGTGGCTTATCTGCTCCTAGCTCACATCGCTCTGTCACTAATAGTTTCCCCCCAAAGTACCGGCTAGACAAACTGACTTCACAAGATAAAACTGCCTTTCTACTAGCTGCTGTTAGCTGACACTCAGTTTTAATCCTTATGCAGTTTGCTTTGGAGGGGAGGGTGCACAACGCACTGGATTTTTAATGGGAATGTGTTTTCAGTTTTTTAAAGGTTGAAACACTACAAATTTTTTAGACTACATTTGAGTTAGTTTTCAAAAGCTAGTTTTGAATTAGAAATGAACCGATTTTTATTCTTACAAAACAGCATAATCTGTCATGGTACCAGAGATGTAAGTATTATCAGCTGATTTTCTAACAGAAGTGAGTAAAACTTGTGTAAATTTCATAAATGCTGCGTATTTCAGTAACCTTTGACCAGGATTTTGTTTATCTTCACAGTGGTTCAAGAGGACCCTTTATGATACAGAGATCTAAATGTGTGCGTGGTGCACGGGTGCATCAAAGTAATCCTTCCTACCTTCAGGGGGCATGAGGGTCTTGTTGTTTTGTGCACACCAGCCAACTGGGTGCAGCTCAGCTGTCATGACATCACACCAGAAGTCAGCCTTGCGGTCCTCGCCGTAGCCACTGAAGCGCAGGAGCAGCAGCTGGCCACATGTAGTGATGATGGTGGCCACCCAATAAGTGTCTGGGTTGTTCTTATTGGCCACTTCGAGCTTCATGCCAGGCTGGAAGCTGCTCTGAAGGCTGATCTCCACCTATAGAGGAAAACAAAAGGACTTTCAAGTTATAATCTTTTTTTTTGCTTGTTTTTTTTTAAGACGTTTGTCTTACTGTTTTTCCTTAAAAATTGAAGTTAACACTGACATTTGGGAGACCAACAAGGCATGAACACAATCAGAGGATCAGAAGTCAATTTCCATTTATAAACTCTGGTTGTACATATAAACTGTGTCTGACAGCTGAAATATTACAGGTCAACCATGAACCACACTTCAGTGTGCAGGTTTGTGGCCCCTTTGGATACTTTGGCTTTAAAATAAGGGTGATAAGCATGAAGTTTGTTTACATCCTGCTTGACCTCCCTGATCTTTACACTGTAGGTTGGTACTACATCCATAATAAACTATTAAAAAAAAGTATAAAAAAGAATAAACTAGGTAAATTTGACAAATGAACAAAAAAAAAAAAAAAGAGGAACAGTCTTTTTTTGTGGAACTAAAGTAGTGACAGTAGGGGTGTATGACATAACCAAAATAATATTAATAACGCTGTGTGGGGGATGAGTTCTGGCGCTGTTTCAAAACTCAGTATTCACAGTAGCAAAACGAGCGTTAAAGGGAACTCCACTCATTTTACACACAAAGGTCAGCTTATGCGAAGTGCTTCACAGCCTGTGAAAACAGTTGCTTAGTGTCTTTCCTTGCTTTGCAGGAGGCCAAAGAAAACAACCCTTGAGAATTTCATTAGGACCGTCATGGCTCGAGCTTCAGACTAGACAAACTAATGAAAGAAAAGTGTTACAACCAGAAAGCATGAAGATTCAAAGACAAGAGCATGCAGGAAGTTGTAATGCAGGAATATTCGTTATGTGCAATCTGGTGTTTCTGGAATTGAACCTACATCAGATATTAAAGGTCAGGATATTTCCACCCATGCATTTTTTTAAAGATGCCATTTCCAGGCACTTTCTGTCTTGTAACTGGAATTTTTTTCAGTTTGTTGGCGGAGATGTCCTCATGCAAAATGATGATGGGAATTTTCTGACATTTGACTAAATAACCAACAATAACAGTGTGAGACTCCAGACTCCATATATCAGTGAGCTACTAAAACCATACATGACATCTAGATCTCTAGAGTCTACTGATCAATGCTGTACCTATATCCAGGCTAAAGACTAAAACAAAGACAAAAAGGTGACTGGGCGCTTCTGTTGGACGTAAGATCTGTGGGCACTGTTAATATCTTTAAAAAGAAACTTAGGACCCTTCTGTTCAGACTTCTATTTATAAATGTATACTATTTTAATTGTTGGATCTTATTCTGTATTGTTATTTTTTGAGAGCACTATATAAATAAACCTTACTTACTCCTGGGTTCATGTGAAAAAGTGACATTTTCTTGTCAATTCCACCCCATTTCAGCCTATTTCACTTTGACATGTATTTGTTAAATTATGATCTGAATTTTTTGATCCACATCCAGATCTGGATTGACTCTAAAAGTTAATTATTTACGTTTAACTGAGCCCCACCTCTGGAAAACATTTAGAGCAAATCTATTCATGGCACTTTGAGTACTCCTGCTAACAAACCAATCACATCACCTCCTTAAAGGAAGTAATTGAACAAAAGTGTGATATCTAATCTCACATGTATTTTATCAATAGTGTATCACCTGATATTACATATTTACTGACAGGATCAAGTGCTGAGAGTGCCTAAGAACTGCTTTACAGTGCTACTAACAGCATGTAAGACGGGTGTAGGTGAGATTTTAATATTCACCAAACCAAATTACTTTCAGAAAAAGACTAAAACAATCCCTCAGGTTAAATAAAAGCCTCTCAGTTTGTCCTTGTGCAGAAAAAGCGATAAATCTGTATATAAAAGAATAATGCATTTCCACCATAGCCACAAGCTGCTGTACAATTCTAGAGAACATTACAAGCCCAGCAGGATGTTCACATTCAACACTAGAAAAGAAGAAAAAACACCACACACATACACACACACACACACACACACACACACACA